CTCCTCCATTTCAGGCAACTTTTTCACTGACTCGAGTATAAGCCGATGCAGCTTTTTTCAGCCCAAAAAGTGGGCTGAAAAACTCGGCTTATACTTGAGTATATATGGTAAATGATTCATAAACCTTGCTAATTCTCTTCTAAAGTAGGGCTTTGTGGAATACTAGATACTTCCAATGGTGGGATTCAGCCAGTTCGCACCTATTCGGGAGAACCAGTTGTTAACTTTCTAAGCGGTTCGGAGAACTGGTTGTTGGAAGAAATCTCCTTTGGGTTTTGTTTCACTTTACAGGGCTATCCTGTAAGGAAGGCAGGAAGGAAACATTCTGGTGTTGTTTCTAGCCTAATCTTTATTGCCCTGCTTAAAGAAACTGCCTCTCCGGTTAACCCTCATTACATTATAACAGCTAAGGCAAAGCGCCCGTCGACATGAGTAACATTGAATTGGCCACACTCACACGATCACAGGACCATCGAGCCACACCTACACAGCTGGTCATTAGGGCAGAGAACCAGTTGTTAAATTATTTGAATCCCACCACTGGTCATACTTCCCAGGTGAAAAGGATACTCAGTTTATTTCCCCAAAATTATGGTTTTTGATCCAATTTTCTGCTGCCTAAATCAGCAGTAAGATTTAAGTGAGGGGCTGACTAGATTAAAGAGGTGATGGGAAGAAACCTGGTATGGCAATATGTAACTAACTAGGGATTATTAAATGATGAACTAAAAATAAAATGGCTATATGCCAATGCTTTCGTGATGTGAGCATCTTGTGGGTTATTAGTTCCATAGTTCTTTCAAAGCTGTTCAAGCTGGTAGGCGTATATTTTCAATGTATGCATTTGACATTATTTGGCAATTTGTTCAGTGCCTCAGTCCAAGTTCACTCTAGGCAGCTCACAAATTGATTGTTTAGGTACCATCAAGTGATTTTTCTATCTCTAGCAACCACATGACAACCTATCCCTAACCTGGTCTTTCAGGTTTTTCAATATTGTACCCGTTGCCATTATAACTGAGCCCATCCACATTGCTGGTGTTCATCCTCTTCCTCTCTTTCCTTTCCAGTATGACAGCTTCTCTAGAGAGCTAGGCCTTCAGACACATAATGTGTCTGAAATAGGATAATTTGAGCTTAGTCATTTGTGCCTCAGGTAAGAATGCTGGGTTGATTTATTTGATTATCCATTTGTTTGTTTTCTTGGCTGTCCGTAGTATCTTCAGGAGATTTCTCCAACACTAAATTTCAGAAATGTCAATACTCTTTCCATCCTGCTTCTTCGGAGCCAACTTTCATTTCCATAGAGCATCACAGAGAATATGAATGCTGCACTATTCCGATATCTCTGGGTATAGACACATCCCATCAGTTGAGTATCTCTTCCAAGGCTTTTGTGGCTATTCTACCAGGTGCTATTTTGGGTCTGACAAAACTGTATGGTTTTGTTTTCAACTATTTATTTCTTTATTGTTGATCTTAAAAGCCAGAAGCTATCTTACCACTGTATCTTCATTGTCAGTCCTAGGATTGGTTGTTATGCCTATTTTTAATAGTTTGGTCATCTTTATATTTAAATATAGTCCTATATTTTCACTGTGTTCTTGACTTTCATTATTATGGTTTGCAGAACCTTTGCATTTTCAGCAATCAGAGTAGTGAGCAGCAAATAACATGTGTCTATTGGAAAATAATTTCCTTAAAAAGCCATATTTGTCCATCAGTAGCATGGCATGGGTTATTCATGTTTTTTCCTCCAGTTTTAAAACCTTGATCATCTTCTTCCAATCCAGCTTCCCCTAATACATATTCAGCATGCAGGCTGAATTAATTAAGAACGGGGTGCACTCTCACATAGCATCTGGATTCTCTGGAAGTCACACAAGGGGACTGTGCTCTTGCATGGCCTCAAGAGCCTAAAAAAAAATGCATGAGAATGGGGCATGCTTTGGCGCAGAGCAATCATTCCATGGGAACAGCAGGGGCACTAGGGCTGAAGTCCATGTCCAGGCCTCTATTTCAGGCCCAGCCTCAGTAGTGCTGTCAAGTGTCACTCTCCAGAGTGGCCTAGATATGTGTGTGTGTGTGTGTGTGTGTGTGTGTGTGTGTGTGTGTGTGTCTGTCTGTCTGTCTGTCTGTCTGTGGAGGAGG